CAAAGTTAGTATTTTCACCTAAGACAGACGTCAGCCTGGGTTTATGCTTCACCCTATAGTTCAGACATGATCTGGGAAACTGCCTTGGTGTTGCTTGGCAGGAAGGCTGGGGCCCTGCAGGCATGGCTCAGAGCTTAGCTGCTGTCCCCCTTCCAAACCCATCTGTTGTGCTGAGGGCAATAACAGTGATTAATGGGACTGTGATGAGTGAGCAGCCAGCCCTGGCATTAGAGCCTGGTGTCCACACTAAACTGGGGAGACCTGGAGGAGCTTGTGGGTGGGGGGATGTGTAAGGAGAAGGAGTGTGGGTTCTCAGAGAGACAGCTCTGGTTTCAATTGTCTTAATTCACAGGTTGGTGTGACCTTTGAGGACATTGCCCTGTACTTCATATGTCTTTCCTACTTTTCTGAATCGCCCCCTAAAAAAAGAATAAAAAATAAATAAATAAGTGTGTGTATGTATATATATATGTATATTTCAGAGAGGAAGGGAGAGGGGGAGAAAGAGACAACAGTAATGAAAGAGAATCATCCATAGGCTGCCTCCTGCACGCCCCCTACAGGGTATCCAGTTTGCAACCCCGGCCTGTGCCCTTCATTAGAATCGAACCCGGGATCCTTCAGTCCACAGGCCAGTGCTCTATCCACTGAGCCAAACCAGCTAGGACTGGTGTTGGGACTATAGGGTGAAGCATAAACCCAGGTTTGTCTTTTTCTTGGAGACATGATCTGGGAAACTGCCTTGGTATTGCTTGGCAGGAAGGCTGGGGCCCTGCAGGCATGGCTCAGAGCTTAGCTGCTGTCCCCCTTCCAAACCCATTTGTTGTGCTGAGGGCAATAACAGTGATTAATGGGACTGTGATGAGAGAGCATCCAGCCCTGGCATTAGAGCCTGGTGTCCACACTAAACTGGGGAGACCTGGAGGAGCTTGAGGGTGGGGGGATGTGTAAGGAGAAGGAGTGTGGGTTCTCAGAGAGACAGCTCTGGTTTCAATTGTCTTAATTCTAACAGGTTGGCGTGACCTTTGAGGACATTGCCCTGTACTTCTCCAGGGAGGAATGGAGCCTCCTTGATGAGGGTCAGAGACAGCTGTACCTGAATGTGATGCTGGAGAACTTTGAACTTATATCCTCTCTGGGTAAGACCCTCACTCTGGCTGGTTCCGGGGACCTGCCTTTGTATTTCCCCATGCCCCCTCATCTCTGGGGGTGCTCTGTCCTCACCTGTGGACTATATACATTGCTAGATTTTTCCAGTTTTGTGGGTTCTTGCTGTGGCTGGCAGGGTTTGTTGTTTGCACTGCTCCCTTCTACACCTTTAGTCACAACACCTGCTGTACCGAACTCTTAAGGGTTTGTGGTTAGTTGTGTGATAGAAAGCCTAATGTATTCCAGTTGAGTAGTGAGCAAAAGCACATTCTTTATTCCTGTTGGTCATTTGTACATATATTTTTTGAAAGTATCTATACATCCTTAGTCCTATTTTATGTGTAAATATTTTTTTATTGATTTCGGAGAGGGAGGGAGAGGGAGAGGGGGAGAGAGAGAGAGCGAGAGAGAGAGAGAGAAACATCAATGATGAGAGAGAATCGTTGATTGGGTATCTCCTGCATGCCCCCTACTGGGGATGAGCCCACAACTTGGGCATGAATTCTGACCAGGAAGCGACGCATGACCTCCTCGGTTCATGAATGGATGGATGCTCAACCACAGGCAAACCAGCCAGGGCTTTAGTCCTAATTTTAACTATATTTATTGGCTAATGATTGTTTTGAATATTTTTCTAGTTTATAATAAGCTACATCTCCTTGCTCTGTCCAGTTTGGCTCAGTGGATAGAGCATCGGCCTGTGGACTGAAGTGTCCTGGGTTCGATTCCAGTCAAGGGCATGTACCTTGGTTGCGAGCACATCCCTAGTGGGGGATTGCAGGAGGAGGCTGGTCGATGTTTTGCCGTCATCCATGTTTCTAACTATCCCTCTCCCTTCCTGTCTGTAAAAAAATCAATAAAATATATTTAAAAAAATACATCTCCTTTTGCATTTGCTAAATTGTGCTCCCCAAATATTGCATTCTTGTTTTATGCACAAATTTCATGTTTTTGGCAACTCTGCATTCAGGAAGTGTAGTGTGGCTATTTTTTCAGCAGGCTCAGATGCAGGTTAACAGTGTTTACCTACAAAGTGTTTTTAATGAATTTATGTAGAATTTTTTCAGCAACACTATTGTCTTCTTCATGTCTTGCCATAACATGACTTTCTCTCTGTATCACAATATTTCCTTTATTTGTTTGACCTGAACCGAATCCATAGTATCTTCAAAATGTTCATGTGATTTGCAAGTATCGTTTCCCATCCTCCTATTTTACAAAACAT